ATTTCCGCACAACCATGTATAAATATTCTCTATACATTCCAGTTTACCTTTAATTTGTCAAGTGGTAGGCAAGATATTAGTCCTTTTGATTTGTTATTCTCTTGACCCGACACGGGAGTGATGGGCACTTGAAAAAATGACAGTTGCATACTTGCGTGTAATTTGCTCGGAACAATTTGCAATCAACCTTAACATTGCAAGATTGATTGCAATGTTGCAATACTCATGGGAACAGAACATCCGGTTTGACTGTAAGAGTTATATCAGTGCAAGACTGCTATAGAAGAAGATTTTATCAAAATAAAGTCAGGATGAAGTCTATTAATACCACGATTACTAATACTACTCTTGAAAGCTTTTCGAAAGACGCCATCTTGTTTTAAAGCTGTTCTAGCCTGCGAACAGGTCTTCAAAACAAGGCTGACGGACTTAAGGTCATAGAGATTATAAATAACGCGTATTTATAATCTCTATGCTTAAGGTTACAGGACACCGTTTTTGGCGTTTTGCGGAAAATCGCTACTGCGCGCTCAATATCAGTCCGATTTTCATCAAATTTTCACCAAATGTTCTCCAGTGCATGCAAAATATGGCAAAGTTGTAAAATTAACAAACAATAAAATGTAAGATTATTCAGGAAAATCGTAAATCGCGGTACCGTTACGCTTTTGAGTTGTGCTCCTGCTGGTTTTAAGTTATATTTATGAAAATATCATTTTTATACAGTAAAATAGCTGTTCTAAAAAATTGTGTTCGGAAATTTTTGTTTATTTCGTCATTCCGCTGATATGGCGATTTCTTTGACGATTGCAATATATTTCTGAATTGTTTGAGTGAATCGCTCTTTATTTTTAAAATATCCAAAATTAAAAAAAAAGCCGAACACAATTTTGCAACTGACGTCTTTAGCTATGTCCTGTGAAAATTTGAGAAGAATTGGTTAAAACCCGCAGGAGCACAACTCGTTTGAAAATCAGTAATTACCGTAAAATTTTTCGGGAGAAAATTGAATTTGAATATTACATTTTCAATGTTTTTCTTATTGCAGTGAAATGTATTTTATTAAATAACTCTGCGAGTTTTCAACATTTCTCGTTCAAACTTGGTCAGATAGTAGAACTAGTCTAATGCTTTCATGGAAACCAATAAAAAATTTTTAGGCAAAATTAACACTCAAAGGTGTTCTGTAACCTTAACGAGTTAACAACTTAACTTACTTAACTTTACTTTACTTTACTGACTGACGCGATAGCAATATATGCTACGCGCAGATACAAAAATAAGTTCACATGCTCATTGGCACCACACGTTCGCACATTCACATCAGGGGCGGATTCAGACAGGTTTGACAGGTTAACATAAACCTGTCAGATTTTCCAAAGAAAGAAAATTTATAACCTTCCATGTATATTACTAATTTAAAGAATATTCTGTTTCATAAAAGTGATGTTGTCTAATCTATTATTGAAATTTGATTATGGACTACTGAGCGTATTTAGACCCACTGATCATTGCTTTGGGGATTGAGAATCAGGAAATGATTGCGAAGCTTTCACGCTCTTGCACTTTGGTTTTTAGTTCGTCGTTAGAGTTGGATTGAAAGCGTGTAGATCTAAATTGATGTGTCAGCAATTAGTGGAACCTATATTTTTTATCACTAGGCACTAGCTAATACGCTTCGGAAAAGGTTCAATTCATTGGGTCATTCCAGAAAAGATCTATACCCCCCTACGGAGGAAATCGAAAATAACCCCCTCCCCCCCTTCGGACATCCTTGAATGGTTCATCCTCCCCCCCTCTCCGGACATCAAAGCGCAAAGCCCAAAATTACCCCCCTCCCATTCAGACATCCACTATTTCTAAATTTTTCTAAAGGCTACCTCGCCGTTTGAAAACGTCACCGAAAATTAGACTACGTTCACACTACGCTCGAGCGAACTAATGCGGGCAGAATTTACGTGTATTCACACTACCGCCATTACAGTTTGTTTACAAATTGAATTAGCACTCGTGTAAACCCAAAATATTTCAAATAGACCCAAGAAATTTAACTGAAAAGCATTCGAGTTTACACGTTTGTGTTCACACTAAGCTATCAAGCGCTCTGCCGTTTCCACCTCGCTCCATTTAGAAACTGTGCTCAAATTGTTACGGCAAAAGTGACGTGAAAGTTTTCAAACGCTTTCGCTCCAGCGTAGAGTGAATTAGCGATGGCTTATTAGAGAGGTTAAGATACCCCGGTTCCGGTCTACGGGTACGAGTATCGCCATTTTGTTTACCAATTTTTGCTGATGTCAGCATTTTTACCCGTAATTTCTACGGGGAAACGTCCCCGCGGTAAACCATGGTCTACACGTAAAAGAGAAACGGGTACGGGTGTTTTGTGTTTACTATTTGTGGGCCGTTTAAATAGTAAAAATGTTCAACATCTTACCCAAATAAATAATGCACTTATGCTTGTCAAAGTTTTCAACAATCTATGGCGAACCTCAACAGCGAAAGTTGCCATTCTCTGATAGGTTTACATACGCCGGAATGTTATATTACCCGTACCCGTAAACCGGAACCGGGGTATCTTAACCTGTCTATTGCGACTTTTCTACGCTGTTTTCAAATAGCTCCGGCGTGGCGGAACACTTGGCAGCTTCTTGTGACTTGCGAACACAAACACGTGGCAGGTTTTGTCGGATAATTTGCAGACCGAAATTCACTTCGAAATTCGTTCAAGTAAAATTCGGACTGAAATTCGATGTAACTTGTGACTGATTGACAAGCGTTGCTATGTTTACTTACATGTTAATGCATTTTTAGTATTGCATTCCTTAATTAACCTCGCCCTTAATATGAAAGCCATTTCTATTTTCTAGACACGCACCTCGCAAGGAAGCTTTATGGACTATATACTAAAACAAATTGTTTTGAGTTCAGTTCACATAGCAGTCTCTTAATTTGAGCAACAGTTTAATAACTATTATTTTTAACACTTGAATAATTCAAACTTATATATACGAACAAAAACTGCAAAACTTTACTTTTATATAAATAAAGTGTGTCAATTTTCGACTCATTCTCAACATGCAGGATACGCTGTTACAGCGAGTTAGTTTTTGCCTTTGGTGGCCATGCATGCAAAAGTGGGCCGCTTATTTTGCTTACAAGTTACGTGGCCGTATAATTATTGCTGTTATATAAACGTTCCGGTGTTCAAGAGCTACATATAGCCGATAAAAATTGCGTGCTCATTATAATCGCCGATCACATAGCTTTATCACAGTCTCAAACCTTCAGACAAACATATCCACATTCCTCTCCCCCCCCCTTCGGACATCCTAACACATTCCCCCCACCCCCCTTCGGACATCCTAAGACATTTTTCCTCCCTCCCCCTTTGGACAGCAAAAATTTCCTCCGTGGGGGGTATGGATCTTTTCTGGAACGACCCATTGTTTGAGCTGCGTATTAGTAAAAAATTCACTTAAAAACATGCATTTTCTAATCATTAATTAAATTAATTTTAAAAGTGACGCCAGAACGTAGGAAATGCTGTTTCAGAGCCCCAGATTTTAAAATTGTTCCGGGGGGGGGGGGCATGCACCCGGATCCCCTAATAATTGGGTGAACTTTGTAAACCAGTCATCAAAAACCCTGGATCCGCCCCTGCACATGATCATCACCA